GTCATGAGCCCAGAGTGCACAGACAGTGGTAGCGCGGCGGTGCAGGGCGTTCTCAGGCCACCACACGACGCGGATGTGAAGCGCTTCGGCGGCCATCCTCACTTTCCATCTCGCCGCGCCGCGCCGCCCCGCCCGCCCTCTGCCCGTCCTGCCCTGGCCACACCGCTGCGCTTAGCGCCTCACCTTTACCACATTTGCATACGCTCGCTGGATTTGGATTGCGCAACGTGGACGTGGATGCGGTAAAGGCCTGACCGCGGCGCTGCGCCGCTCGCTCTCGTGGGTGCAGCGACCCGGCCAGACCCGACGACACTGACCGAATGGAAATAATGCTATAAAAGATGAGGGGGGGGGGCGCTGTCGCCGTTGTGACCTTGTCGTTTGACCGGGACCGGCCCGGCTCCCGCGTGGGCGTCTACAAGAGCGGGGCGGGAAGGGGCCGTGACTAAATGCGTAGCAACTTGACAGGTCCGTCCCTTTTGCATTTGCCTGATGAGTCTTCTCTCTCTCTTCCCGCAGAATGGCGCGCAAGGTAGCGCCGAGTCACTACATGGCGGCGCCGCCGTCGGAGCGCGCGGACCGCGCGGCCATCCACGGCTACTCGACGGACGGCGAGGAGAGCCGGGCGCCGTCGGACCGCACGCTGTCCGAGTACATGGTGGCCAACGAGCGCGCGGCCGTGCTGCCGCGCCGCTCCCGGGAGCGCGACTGGGAGCCCGTGCACGTCCCGCACCACGCGCCGCACCGCGCGCTCGCGCCGCACGGCCAGCACCCGGCCACGCACGGCTCCTCGGCGCAGCGCGGGGGCGGGGGCGGGCAGCAGGGCGGCGCCGGCCCCAGGGCGCCGTCCAGGACGTCCAGGGCGTCCCGCCACAACAACGCCAGCCACAACCACGGCTACGACGACTCGAGCGACATCTACGTGACGAGCGCGGCCTACCGGGCCCCGTCCGAGTTTAGGTAAGGCATCAAAGCGGTTCGTCGGAGTGCTGTTTAGTGGCTTTCGATTATTTGACAGGTGATTGGCGTTTAACCTTGGTTAATTATTTGCCCACCCTGGCATTGTTTCAGCCGAGGATCACGAGGTCCGCCGGGTCCCCCCAGCCACTACTCGTACCGATCGCGGCCGCCGTCGGAGGTGTCGACGGTGCGGACCAAGACGGGCCGCAAGGCCGGCGTCGTGGTCGAGACCATGTCCGCGCCCAACCCCTTCTGTCCCAACACCAAGGGCGTCTGCTGCCTGCTCCTGCTGCTCAATCTGGGGCTCATTCTCGTCACCCTGGGCTTCGTCATCGTCATCCAGTTCTTCGAACCCTTCTTTGTGTGGTAAGTAACCAACTCCTCCCCCCAACCTGCCTCCGAGGCTTCCGCCGCCACCGCACTGGGCACATAATAACTGATGACTATGTCCTAGGATCTTGGGCATCGTGTTCCTGGTGTTCGGCTTCCTCACGCTCATCGGCAGCATGGTGTACTGCGTGCACGTGTGCCGAGACGCCAAGACGCCGCAAGAGGTGGCCGCAGAGCCGCACTACTGGACGCACCACTGGCAGAAGAACTTCAGCACGCCCGAGATCCGCTACAAGTCGGAGGAGAAGTACCCCGACGACCGCTTCAGCGACCGCTACTCTGTCAGCAAGTACTCTGAGAAGTACTCGGACCGGGGAGGGCACCGCGACCGCTACTGAGTGCGGGCGCCTCGTTTGTTGACACACGACGAGCGGTTCCTTTGAGGCGGGAGTGACAGTGACACCGCCGGGTGACGGGGGGACATCCCATCCCCGCACGGCGCGCTGTTACCACAACGGCCTCTTTTCGAAGGCAGCAGCAAAAGTTTTTCTCTTGGCTGTGTTGTTTGTTACACGCCCATCTCTGTCTCACCCCAAAGAGGCAACCGAGGTGGACAAACTTGTACTGAAAATGCTAACTTGAAGAGATTGCATTAACTACTGGATTCAGTGACTTAATAGTTCAGAGGTACCCATGAGGTAAACTCTTTGAGACTGTCAACAAGTTACCATTTATCAAGGTGAATATTCCAAAGTTGTGTGCAATGCTGTGATCAATGAGCTGTTTCTCAGTCTTGTGCTATTGATAGCCACTTATTTTAATACTTTGATGTTATCGTGGAACTGGTGCTATTAGAAATTATGAAATTTTCTGTCTGAAACTGTGAAGTTTCAAGGTGCTATTTTTAAAAATCTGAAACAGTTTTTGCTAGCAACAATGACAAGAGCGTAATAAAATGATTCTGTTTGAAAGGTAGTGTGCTGTCTTTGTTTGGTTGCCTGTTAGTCTTGATCGGAGCTTAGTGGGTTTTAAAATTAACATACTAAATGGTTACTGGGGTAAAGTTTTTACAAAGCACCGGTTGAAACCGACAGAACTACTGAATGGGTACCAGCATTTCTCTTTGAAAAACCTTGCCAGTCAAAATCAGTTGTAATGTATGTGACTTACAAAAATCAATTTATAAACTTATATTTGTCAATATAAATCTATAGTATTTGTTTTTAAATACTATTTAGTTGGGAGTGTAAATAAGACTTGCTGAAAACCAATTTAATGAAGGTCTGACTGCCCATAATGAGATTGGTTTCCCAATCTCATAAATCAATGGATTAATTCAAACAAATTTTATTTGTTTCTTATGTTTTTATTTTTTTATACTCTAAGACTCGATATGTGTGTTGTGTGTGTTTTGTGTGTACCATAAACCACTGTTAAAATGTTGAAAAATTAAATAAAAGTTTCTAATTTGTATTTATATATTGATAAATATTGTGTTATTGCATACCCTACCCTTTAATTACTCCGGTAGCCTTTACCAATCTGTTGAGGTAAACTGCGGATAAAATCGCTAGTCCAATGTGAGGAGAATAAGCTTCAAGGAAGTCACGACTTCCGCCTGTGGGTAGGCAACCCATGCTACACAATCGCTGGGTGGGAAGCAGCACGCAACGGGTGGCGAGGCCGACTGGGACAGGGGAAGAATAAAGAGAGGTACTTCTCGTCAATTTACAGTTTAATAAATTATGGTTAATTAAACTTAGTTTATCAGGACAGATGCATTGTTGTGCGTCAGCACAGGACTAGTTAGGCTATTTACAATGTGTTGCTCGGAGGTCGCTTGGAACACGGGCGAGAGGTTGCATCACTCACAACCTGACGGGAAAAGAAAGGTAAAACAAGAGTTAATCTCATAAAAGTAAAAACTGAATGCCCAAGTGCGAAATTGAAAAATAAGTCATTCACAACGAGACGAGGTTGACACACGTACCTGAGGCCTCCAGGCTGTCCGTACACCTCAGCGGGGACTCCGTAGACGGGCTCGGGTACAGCGGGAGCATACTGCACCTTGGGGGCCTCCGGCAGGGGCAGAGGTGCAGGAGGTGGGGGAGGGGGTGGA